AACTTCCCTCACCTTCACCCCAGATTTTTTCTGTCACCATCTTTTTTTCCTCTTTTTTCTTGGAATAGATTTTTTTTTAACAAATCTCTATAGCTAGCATAATAAGCTGGACTCTCCCCGGTTCTTGCCCCATTAAGGAGACATTTCCTCCTGCACTCCAAATTGTTCCTGCTCCAGCAGCTCTTTTCTCCTCTACAAGCATGGTCAACTCTCCACTTTCCTAGAAAAGTTTTCTTGCCTCACTTCTTCCCTTTCACTTTTTGAATAAAGATTCCACACATTTTCTATTTTAGTTATTATTACCTTCATTCTCCTCATGCCCTTGAAGGATGTATTCTGCACCCATGAATCTGTGGAAACAGTTCTTGTTGACCTAAGCCTTGCTGAATCATTAGCTGCTGCCAGCCCACCTATGGTTCTCACTCTGTAATAATCAGCACAGTAGACCATTCTGAATCACCCTGGTGTGTTGTGCCTCTATACGGGGTTACAAGCTTTCTTCATGACCATTACAGGCTAGAGCTTCCTCAGATTTCCTGAACACCTTCCATCTCCATAGTAAGTCCTCTTCTTTCTTCTCTACACATTTATTCTCTTTCCTTCTGACCCTGTAATTGTTGCATGAAATCACTTGCATCATCCACCAATATAGGTCTTTTCATATATCATCACAACCCAACATTAGAAGTCATTTTCTGAAGGTAAGACTTTTTTGCTCTCCTTGGTAAAGATACCAATATATCCACATCTCAAATGTGTGTGTGTGTGTGTGTGTGTGTGTGTGTGTGTGTGTGTAGAGAGAGAATATTTTCACCCCAGCCAGATGGAATTTTCTTAATGTATACATATTTTGGGAATTTATTTTTGGCTTATTTTTGTTTTGCTTTCTGATTTGAGGGTATCTGACTGTGATAGAGCTTCAAGGAAAAGTTGTTTCAGCTCAGGGTACTTGGAATTTATAGTTAGCCATTGAAAACTGCTGTTTCCAAATTACCATGTACACATCATGGAGACACCCTTGGATTCTTGCACTACTCTGGATTTTTCTCCTTCCTTCCTTGCATATTTTTTGTATATAGGATGAAAAGGTTATGACTAGCCCCAAAGTGAAGTGGGAGACTCGGTGGTGTGTATGAATGTTTCTATTCTCCCCTTTTTTCTTTATACATATACATATCTCATATCTGTAGGAAATCTTTGGCAATGGGGTATTGAACAGACTTTTTGGGAAGGAAGGAAGGGTCATATTAGTGAACACTTTATCCCCAGCACGTCATATACTGAGCTGAGAAGACAAGTAGATGACTGCTTACTTTTGGTCAGACCAAAAAGTGTGAAGGGTCCTATATCCATCCATGGGATGTATCCAACTTGCCTCCTTGAGAAATGACTCTTCTTATGGATATAGACCTTCAGAAAAGGATATTGACAGCCTTCCTCTTCAATCTATTCTTCTATAGATGGACTTCGGGGCTCGCCTGATAGACTGTCTGACAGATCCATCACAGTATCCATTCAGCCTTGGGGGAAGAGGCAGCTCCCTTTATCTAACACAATAGGGTCAAAGAAAAGTCAGAAAGGGAGCTAGTCTCCCAGAAAGGCCATGAGAACTCTCTTTATGGAAGGCCATAGATTCAGGTTTCAGTAATGTGGGCTTCTCCACAAGGTAATAACTGCTAATAGCATGTATTTCCCAGAGAAAATGAGTTAGGTTCCTTTGTACAACTCCTGAGAGAAGAGAGATGGCAAAGGCAGGGACCTTGTCTATCTTCCTTACTTCTTATCCTCTGACAGAAAGAGGTGCTCCCTAAATATTTGTAGAATTGAAATTCATGAAATGTGGCCAAGGAAATAGGTGGCACTTGATAGCACTACCAGGTTTTGGGGACTTTGGCAAATTCCTTATTTTCTTATACTATTTTCTGAAGAAAGTATCACATATTCCTGGGGTTGTGATTTAAGATTTTTCCCTGAGGCGTTGTCAAGGAAGTTAGGAATTTGGTTGAAATTGATCTCTGCTAAGAGATTTAATGGTTTGATTGGAAAATCTCACCTCAGTATGTTTTAGGGTTAGATGCTGTCCTGAAGAAAGGAGTCCTTTTCTTAAAGCCTCTAGCCCTAGCTGAAGCTAGTGACAAGATACTAGGTTTGGTAGACAAGTAGAAAATTCAACTGTGACCACTGCTTTATTCCTCCCGGGATTTAATTATCAATGAACCTTTTTTGAATATAGTTTCACCAATTATGAAAAATGACCTCTTTGGATAATTACATAAATGTCAAATAGAAATAGCCTAACTGGTATAAATGTTACTGCCATCCAATTGTTATAAATCGGTCTTTCAGCAATGTTTAGTGTACCCTCAACAGTTTTTTTAAAAACCCAAAACATTTTATTTTAATCAAGAAGAAAACAAGGTATGTCACAGATGAAAATGACATACATATTTTTGTGCTTATTATTTAAAGAAAGGAGAAACATCTGAAATCTGTTTGCTAACTACAGTATAATACAAATTAGCCTGCAGGCGCCGTGTGTGCCGTACCCTGTCTGCTTGCCAGCCCTGCTTAGTCCCAATGTATTAATGAGCAAGTGCAAGTATTTGAACAATCAGCATTTCCGCATTTGCATGCAAACTCTCATGCTGTGTAATTATACACAGAGCTGGCACTCAAATTAATTAAAGCTGATTTCTCTGTGACTGCAAAATGGTCATATCCTCAGCTTTGCCTTCCTATGAAGTCATCACTCTACATTCAACGTGACACTTCTGTCCCTGGCATTCTTAGTAATGCTAATGTTTGACAATTGTGAATCCGGCAATATTTTAGATTGCAGCTGACAATGGCTGGGTGTTCTTGTGCTTTTCCTCTCCTCCCTATTTTTCTCCCTTTTGGTATGAAGATAAAGAACAGCTTTTGAATGCCTGCTTTGTAATTATCTCAAATAATAATGCAAACAAATTACATATATTGTCTCAGTTGGTTCCCTCCCTCTTTTATGACTCCACCCACTTGATTAGTGCTTACAAACAATTCATCAAACTTAAAAAATCTGTTTGTTTGATAGTAGCAAACAATTAGTTTTGATGGCTTTTGTCTTAATTTTGAAAAGGCTTTAACAAATGGTATCTTATTTTCATAGATAAGGCTCTCATAATTCAGGATCAGGAAGATTAGGAGAGAAAGAAGCAGGAATGACTGCTAGATTTGATTAAGACTTTTTGAATCCTCATCAAACACAGCAGTATTGCAACGGAGACTATTATTTGCCAAAGAGATCCATAAACGTTAACTTCTAGGGGCCGAGGCTTTCCTCAGCTCTTCCATAATAAAGCCATCCCCTTTGGTTTCTCAGTTCCTTTGAAGGAACTGTTTCTGTGACAATTCCTTTGAAAAGACATCCTTAGAGCAATTAAGATATCATTACGATTCTCCTTTCATAAATTTAAATCTCTGGATACAGGTGGCTACTAAAAAACACTGTCATGTAGTGCCCGGGAGATGAGCTGCTTTGACACATTCCTCTGAAATCACTCCTTAACACTCAACTACAGCTCACCATCATCCTCATTCCTCTGTATCCCATTAGCCAGAAACTGCACAGATAACTATTTGCAGGGGCTGGATGTCTCTTTTTAGAGCAGGCACCAAACAATTCTATCCCTCAAGTTCAAGACCCTGAAATACACTGCCAAGAAGATTGCCCCAGTAATCTACGTTTGAAAGGGAAGATCGAGCAGGGAATCCCTTTATAATCAATCTCTAGTGATCAAACCAAGAGATATAATTGCCCTTACCTTATCAGTAGTACTTCTGGGTCCACATAGAACATCAGTTAGCAAGCTCCCTTCAAATTCCAGTTGGCATACAAGTGAGAAAGGAGTATTGAGTTTTTCCGGGAGAGGCTTCTGGGGAGATCACAGTCACTATTATTGTGATCCGAAGCCTGCCCTTCTGTCTTGTCATAAATTTCCTACGCAGACAGGTGTCATCTTGGCATGAATTTCGTTGCCAAGTGCAGTTTAAGAGGTGGGCGTGGCCATGATCATGTAGCCAGTTCCACCTGTCTCTAAACCCTCATAACCTCCATGCTTTCAAAATTTTGCTCAGGTACCCAGTGACTTCATGAGTTACCCACGCACTGGGTCCGACTAACAGAGGTGTGGGAACAGTATCGAGTTAAGCAGCACCGTCACTGTAGTACACAATGCTCATTGCTACTGGCAAATACCTATTTGCTGAATCAGGATTGGGCTGCACTGAGCAGGACTAGGCGGTTCTACTGCTTTCTGTTTGTTTCCTTTTTAGAAACCATCCTCTTCTAATTAACCATTTAGCAAAAATAGATTCTTTTTGATGTTCATTCCCTAAAAATATAGCTTTATAAGCATAGAGAATTACTATATTTTAACCTTTTTTTTTAAGCAAGCACTTGCAAAACAAAAGGCAAAGAAAATTGAAGTTCCCCAAACAATTTTAAAATGAACATGACTGTATATGTTGTACTTTCTGCTCTTAAACTTTCTGATAGCAAATTAAATACATTTGTTAGTTATGATTCTTTTACTTCTTATGGGAGAAGGATATAGGAGAGGTGTTCTGTAAACGTCTTAAGAAAAGGGACTCTTTTACACCTTAAGGAATAATAGACAGCTGGTACTCAATTTTTTTTTTTAATTAATGGTGGTATTTAAAAAAAGTTGATTGACTGCATATCTCCTTATAGATGTATGTATAAATGGAATTCAGGTTTGTAAGTGGCAAGAGATTTTAGAAACACGACGGCATTATATGTTTTATTAATCCTTGTAAGTATAACATGATCACAACAAAGTCTAGAAAATAAGGAGCTCAATAGATATAAATGGCATGTCTTTGACTTACAATTTTTACCCATTTTATCAGTATACTCTGGAAGTGGTGGGCTATTAATTTTTTAGACTCCTCAATTCCTCAGTGACATTTATTTATTTTTTATTTTATTTTATTTTTTTTAGCAGGGGAAAGCGCGAACACAGTCCCCCACTACCACAAATTATGCAGTCGAGTTTCCCACATTTGGGAAAATCGCAGGGGTCAGCACATCTGGAGTGCAATGGATAAGCCTCGCCCTGGGAAAACCACCTTCATGATCACGGTATCTCCCCTGCCAGGTATGTATCCTCCTCAGTGACATTTAAATCAAGAAAACTCTTCTTCCTTTTTTTGGAGGGGGGATTGATCTAAATTCAAATATCAAAGTTTGGCCCAACATCCTATCCAAAGCAAAAATTTCTTATGTTATATTGCTTTTTCTTCAACCTGCCCACTAGCTAGCACAAAACTGACATGTACATGATGATATTTCATAGATTTTTGCTAAGTAAATAGTGGCACATTTATAACTGTGTATGTGGACACTGTAAATGATATAAATCAACTAACCTGCAAACTCTTGAAGGTTTCCTTCTTTACAGGACTTATGCAAGGTTTGCATATCAATGCGAAGGGTAATAAATTCCTAAATAAATTGAAATTAAATAACTTTGAAGAGAATACATTAGTAAGTCTAAGATGATTCATTCTGATTTTAGATAGAGATCTCCTTTATTTTTGACCAATATCTTCTTGAATTGTCTATTCTTTGGTATGAATTTTTTCTGAGGCTTCGTGAGGCTTTGAGGATAAATTTAATCCCTATTCCACATGAAAGTTATCCAACTATTTGAAAAATGGCTATCATTTTTCCCTAAGTCTACTTTTTTTTCAGTCTGAACATTCTTTTAATCATTCTAATATGAGATGGCTTTTAAGGTTTCTCACCATACTGGATAGATTCCAGTTTGTCCCTGTCTCTTCTAAATGTGGCATCAGAACTGAATGCATTACTTGAGACATGGTCTAATTATGCAAAGTACGTGGATCCTGTTGCCTGCCTCGTTCTGCACTCTATTTCTAATAATTTAGAGTTTTATGAAGGCAGGAAATGCATTTTGAGGAGGGGTTGGCATCATTATCATATTCTTAGTTCTTGAACTTTTACAAAACTAAAATGTTTAAATATTTTTCATACCAAATTCTTTCTAATCCAGCCTCTGGTGACGTGTTCTTATTGCCGTTGAAGTTTTGGATGGAAACAGAGGATTTTATATCCATCCATACTACAGCTCATATTTGGTACTGGTCATTGTTCTAATTCTTTGTGGCATTTTTGAATCCTGATTTTACTACCCGATATCTTAGTTACTATATTTTATTTTGTGTCATTCTTGGAAAAACATCTGTGTGGCTACTATGGGTTAGGCACTATATCAGGCAGTGATGATACCAAAGGCAAAGAGACATGGTCACTTTGCTGAAAAAAGCTCACAGCAAAGCAAGGACACTGCCAATGTAATTATTATGACTTCCATGTTTTCTTTCAAATCACTGGCAAAAAAAAATGATAGTACAATTCTCAGAGATCTCTCTTCAGATTGACAACACTCAATTACCCTTAGCTCATGAGAATAAAATGTAACACCTATCATTTTTATTGAGCACTTATGTGAAGATAGGTAAAAAGCACTTCATGTACATTGTATCATTTAAGAAGCACATCTTTATGACATAGATAGTTTTAATCCCTCATTACAATTGAGGAAATTAAGGTTCAGGAAGTTTATCCAACTTGCACAAATTGACATAGCTGATAAGTTGCAGGGCTTCAATTTGAACTGCTGAGGTTCTGTGACTCCAAAATTCATTCTTCATCATTCTTAAAGAGGTAATTCTGCCATTTTTGGAAACTTTCTAACCATACTATAAACTAGTCTAACTTATCTTCTAAGAATGTATGAGAATTTTGATTAAAAGACTTACCAAAATTCAGTTATACTGTTGTTTTTTTTTTTTTTAAGAGTAAAAGTAATATACTTTACCTGGAGCTACTTTGTTCTTAGTGAACCCATACTGATTCTTTTTTTTTTTTTTTTAAGGTTTTATTTATTTATTTGACAGAGAGAGAGAGATTGAGAGCACAAGCAGGGGGAGCAGCAGAGGGAGAGGTAGAAGCAGGCTCCCTGCTTAGCAGGGAGCCCAAAGCGGGGTCAATCCCAGGACCCTGAGATCATGACCTAAGCTGAAGGTAGACACCCAACTGACTGAGCCACACAGGCGCCCTGAACCCATACTGATTCTTAATAGTCACTGACACCATCTCAAAATGCTCACTTTTACTTTAATAATTTTGTCCAAATTTTGTTAGAGACTGATGTCAAACTCATTGGTTTGCAGTTCACAGAATCTTTTCTTCCTTTCTAATAAAATCAGAACAGCATAGACACATCTTCAGTTTTCTTGATTCTTCCCCATTCTCCATGATACCTCAGAAATAATTGGCAGAGGTTCCATGAACACATCTGAAGTTGTTTCTTTCCTGAAGACACCAGAACATATTTATGTAGCTATCTGTTTCACCTTCTTGGGGTTCGGTCCTGTAAAATGAGTTATTGAAAGTAAAGACTGAATTGTTCTGCACCAAGTTTTACATGTTGAACACACTTTTAAATATTTGTTGAAAAAAATCAACATAGTGGAGAGGAAAAAAGCCCTACAATCTTGTTTTATATAAAAGAAAGAAGACTCCTATTTTTTGCCTTCTTGGGAAGAGCAACACTTACATCACACATGAATGATTCTTTTGTTAAGGAAAAAAAAAAACTAGATAAATCTGGATGAGATATTCAAGTTGAGAAAGTCAAGGTCCTTTTGGGCATAGCCTGATGGGCAACATTAGATAAAGGGAAGGCTAAATTTCCCTATAAAAAATTATGAACAATTTGTCAGTCTGGGAAATAAACTTGGACATGGGCAGAAGGGAAGAGATATGAAAGTGTAGTGGTGTGAGGTGCTGCCCAAGAACATGGCAGAAAGCCCAGAACATAACAGAGGAACACAGAGGGAAGAATTCTGAAGCTGCTTACACACAAATCTCAAAACATGGCTGTGCTAGCCCAAGAAGTGATATGGAAACGATCATAGAGGACAGCGTCCTTTTCTTCAGGATAGTGGATGATCCCAATTTTGTAAAATGAAAAATACCTTTGAAAGAGGAAAGAGCTTCTATGGGATAACATTTATTATTCCAGTTGGAGTGGATATCAGAAAATAATAAAGCCCTTACTTCTTATAATATTCTACTGATATAATTTTTCCCTAATTGTACTTTCATTACACTATATTTTTAAGAGTTGCCTTCTTTCATGGAGTAGTATATATTTTTATTACATAGAAAAGCCCAAGATTATTTCTGGTGGGTAAGCAGAGAGTGAAAGGAAGATATGTTATCAAGAGAATGTCCGGTCCTCCGATATGACTCTTTAAAATGTTATTTTACTCTAGCTAGAAAAGATTAAAGCATCAGCTTAATATGAATTTCACAGAAATAACCAAAGAATTGTTGGGAAGTAAAAGGCTTTTTAAGACCATTTTTCCCCCAGAAGAACATTGTGTGTGTACACATATAATATTATTTTCAATATTCCTAAACTATTCTTAATAAAATAAATATGTTTAATAATAAAACTAATTCTGATGGGGAGTATAAAATAATGTACGTATTGCATTATTAAAAGAGTTATATGTATATATGTGTGGGTATGTGACAAAAAGTTCACAATTTTTAATCAGCTTGAAAGTAAAAATTTGTTGCTGAGACTTTCTCTTTGGTAATATGCAGTATTGGAAGCATCAGCACAGTAGTATTATGTTAATGCATTACAGCTGGAAGATGAACCTTGCTGAAAAATTCAAGAAACTGAATACTGAACAGTTAGTTGCAGAAGGGCAATTATGAGACCTGGTATGGTTTCATTATCTAAGATGAGTGAGAATAAAATGCAAAACTGAAATATAAATGATGTAAAGCATATTAGGTATTAGATTTCTTTTTTGTTTTAATTATCTAATTTTTCATTAATAAGTGCTTTGAAATATATGATCTTTTCTTTGATGCTGGCTATTTCAAAGCAACATATTATATGGGCTTATACTGCATTATATTATAATAATTCTAATAGCTAACTTTTTTATTACTATGTGCCAGTTACTGTGCTAAATACATGCATTATCTCATTTATTGCCACAATTTATGAAGTAGATAATATTATCATCTCCTTTTAAAAGAGAGAGAAACTGAAGCACAGAGAAGTTAAGCAACTTGTCCAAGGTCACATTGTTAGCAAATAATTGAGCAAGGACGAAACTCAGGTAGAATGTGGAGACTGTATACTGCTCATTTATTTTGCATCCACTGTGTTTTCTTTTTGTACCCGTTATGTTCTTAAGTGTTTTTCATATGCTCTATACCCTCATGAAGGAAGAATCCCTCTTTCTAAGTTATTTTGTAACGCTAACCAGTCTTTAATATCCTATTCAAGGGATGCCTGAGTACTCAGTTGGTTAGGCATCTGCCTTTGGCTTGGCTCATGATCCCAGGGTCCTGAGATCGAGTCCTGTATCAGGCTTCCTGCTCAGCGGGAAGCTTGCTTCTCCCTCTGCCCCTCCCCCTGCTTGTACTTTCTCTCTTTCTCTGACAAATAAATAAATAAAATATATCCTATTCAAAGTGAATGCAAAATATACTTCATGTGTTAAGGCTAGCTCAAGGGTCAACTTATTTATGGATTTTGTTGATTTCTTTGAGCAGAGCCTTCTACTGTCTCCCTTGTATCCCTTGTACCCTGTTCAGATGCCTGTTTACACCCAAAATATCCACGGCTCTTATTTACTTACAAAGCTACTTCTCTGCAGGGCCTAGCTTAGTGTTGAAATGCAATAGCTGTTAACAAACATTTGTGTAATGAATCAATAACAGGGGCTAGCCCTTATCTTTTCTGCATCATTTTTCGACACATAATTTTCCCTGCCAGGCACCAATTTGTCTCCTGCTGGGGGGAAAGCAGAGTATTGCCTTCTCTACACTTTGAATTAATGTTTTCTCCTGTTTACCAAAGTGGTAAGGAAACATGAGTTTCTCTGCTCAAGCTAGCAGTACTCTTAATAAACATATTAAAAATACCGAATCAAAAAGCTTTGTGTTGGATTACCCCAAAGAGAAGTTGCCTAAAGTTTGATCACAGTGCCTGTGATAGATGTGGCTCAAT